ATCTTGTAGGAAGGCCAAGACAGACCTAATTCAAGGTTTTAATGGATCCACTCCTTTCCTCCTACATCACCTAACAAATGCTTTCCATGTGGTGTTGTAGATTTCGACAGCTGATTGTTTCCTGGAGGCGAGTAGTGTGTCTATGACTTCTTCAGAGTATCCTAGTTGTAGAAATTTACTCCTTTCAATCTCTAGGTGGTCATACGCAACCACCTCAATACAGGCAACGTTTTGGAATTTAGGTATTCGATGAAGGCAAAACCTAATCTAAGCTGCTCTCCGTATGAGCCAGGAAAAGAACTGAATGGAAGGGCGACTTCCATGTCGGAGACAGGAAGTGAGAGGAATTTGTTTCCGCTTCCTTGATAGGACGGTGGGGAAATCACTCACCAAGATGTCCCCCACCTCAGAGAGAGAATGTGGAGGTTCCCCTTAGTCACCATGGCCAGTAGCCATTGATAGACTTATCCTCCATGAATCTAATCCAATTTTAAAGATGTTTATTCCTGTGGCCATCATGAAATCCTCTGGCAGTGTTCTAAGCTTGGCACTTTAGGGGAGGGGCCGTAGCTCAGTGGTACAATGGATGCTTTCCCGTTCTCCAGTTAGGGGGTCTCAATAGATCCTCTCTGTGACCAAGACTTGGCATTTTCAGCTCAATGCCTAGAGAGACCTGGGTAAACCACACCTCCATCTTGAGGCCAATTAGCACTCCTCTTGAGGGGCAGCTTTGCAGTTTCCCTTCCTGGTGTCCGGAATACCTCCTCACCCTTACTGTTCCAACAGGCACGGCAGCCCTTCAAATCTGCTCGCCTCAGTCGCTCTCTTACCATCAAACAGGTACGGGTGGGCAACGCACTTCCGGAGCTGTATCAAGATATTCTGGAGCTTCACTTTCTTCCCTGTGTCATTTTCAAATGCTCCTGAAATTTAAGAAAAAGAGACCCACACTGATAAACTCTGTACTGTGTCACTAGAACAGGGGTCCCCAATGCAGCTGTGGTGCCCACCGGAGTTTTTTAGAAAGGAGGAGCCAGGTGGGGCTTTTGTGCAGGAAGGCTTCCGATTGGCTGTGCCACGACAGCACAAGGATCTTCACTGCACGCCTGAAGGTAAGCTGTGGCGGCCATTTTGTGGCTGGCTCTGCCTCCTGTGGCGGCCATTTTGTGGCTGTGCCCTCCACACTGTGTCAGAATTCCAATGGTGCTAAAATTTCATAACCTGCTGTGTGGCATGATTTAGTCCAAGATATTAAAAAGTTTATGTGGATAATTAATAACCCATAAATGACTAAGTTGAATAATATAAATGACCTATAAACACAGCACAGTGCATAAATCAATACTCCATAAATTCAACATAATAAATATCCCAGAAATATCCTATAATGAAGTATCTAAATCTGGGGTGTTGAACTCATTTGTTATGAGGGCCGGATCTGATATAAATGAGACCTTGTTGGGCCGGGCCATGTGTTATAAAGGGTAATGCCAGGTAGCAGAGATAGAAACTTTGTAAAGGACACAAACACAAAAGGGGTGGTTTTTTAAATTAAAATAAAATCATGCTTAAAACATTAGCGCTCTTGCAATATTTTGTTTATTTAACAGTGCCTGATAACTGACACCTCTTGCTCTGAATTATTGCATCAAAATGCCTGTGCTGTTACAGTCCTGAGTATGCTGTTCAGGTGTGTATCTGTAAGCTGCAACCCTACGATGATGCAGCAGCTGCAGAACTGGAAGAAAAAGCAGAAGACAGCCAGTTCCACTGTGGGCCTGAGAGAAGCCCTCCGGGGTGCCTGATGCAGCCCCCGGGACGCATGTTTGACACCCCTGATCTAAATCATATAGAAATTGCTTGCCAAATTATTTGTATTTTATAAAAAGCACAATGCCTGGGGTTTCCCCCCCAGCAAAAAAATTCTATATGATTTAGATACATTGTATGGGATATTTTTTATGTTTGTTATGGGATATTTATTATGTTGAATTTATGGAGTATTGATTTATGCATTATGTTGTATTTATGGGCTATTTATATTATTAAATTGAGTCATTTACAGGTTATTAGTTATTCACACAAACTTTTTAATACCTTTAACTTTCTCCTTATTTCCACGTTGTCCTTTTGTGTATATATGGGTGGCAGGATTTAGCTTGAGGAGTACAGAAGGGAAGATGGTTCGGGAAGGAAAGAACTGAAGATTTTCTGTTTCAGCTCCACTTTCCACCCCTAAAACCCCTTCCCATATTACGTCCGTTTTTTTAAAAAACACTAAAAGACTGGTTCCAAAGTCCTTCACTAGCTCCACTTACCTGGGTCCTTCATCAGAACCGCCTTATACAGCTTCCTCTGCAGAGCCGACATGCCGTGGTAGAGCATCACCTCCTCCTTCTTCGGGAGTTCGGCGGCCACTTCCGCCTTCACCCTCCGGAGCAAGAAGGGCTGGAGGAGAGCGTGGAGTTCTGTGGCTGCGTAAGAGTGAGAAGCGCTGTCAGGCACGTGGACTTCAAAGGCATGTAGGGGAAGAGCCCCTGTCCATGCTCCAAGTTCTCCCCTGAGCATTTGGCGTTGTCCTGGACCAGAGACAGAGGAATAGCTGGGGACACACTGACAAGGATTTCAAGACCCAAGCAAGGGGTCTGAGCGGAATTTCTTGGGAGGGTCACATTCAAAAGCCCTGAGGCCACAGAGAGATTACTGTCAAACCACCCTTTCGAAAGCCTGCATGCATTCAACAAGATGCCCTGGACACAAGGGTGCAGAACAGCTCAATAAAGTAAAACCTTTCTATAAGTGTGTACTACGTTGTGGCTGGGGTGAACCTGACAGATACATCTAGTCCAGCCTCCTGCTGCATGCAGCGGTCAGCCAGTTACCCTGGAGGACTGGCAAACTGGGCCTAGAAGCCAAGACCTTCCCCCGATGCTGCCTCTGAGCACCAGGTTTCAGTGATTTACTACTTCTGACTATGGAGACTGCCTTTCCGCCATATGGCCAGTAGTGGTCGATGGACCTCTCATTTGGGAATCTGTCTAACCTCTTTTTTAAAAAGGGGAATTATGAGGAGAAACTCCCCAAACTGGGGAGGGGGGCATGGAGAGGAAGAAAGCACTTTTTAACAGAGGAGAGGAAAATACGGAACAATTTTTTAAAAGACAATGTCTCTGCTCCCTCAGCAGAAAATTAATATTAATTAATTTACGGCATCTTTGAGTTAAGCTTTTCCCCCCATCAAGTCACAGCCGACTTAGGGTGACCCAAGTTTTCAAGGCAGGAGATGTTCAGAGGTGGTTTGCCATTGCCTGCCTCTGCATTGCGGCCCCGGACTTCCTTGGTGGTCTCCCGCCCAAGTACTAACCAGGGCTGATCCCGCTTAGCTTCTGAGAACTGAGGAGGAAGAAGAAGAGATTGGATTTATACCCCGCCCTTCACTCGGAGTCTCAGAGCGTCTTACAAACTCCTTTCCCTCCCCTCCTCCACAACAGACACCCTGTGAGGTTGGTGGGGCTGAGAGAGCTCTTGACAGAAACTGCTTTTTTTCAAGAACAGCTCTTATCAGAACTATGGCTTGCCCAAGGTCATCCAGCCAGGTGCGAGTGGAGGAGTACTGGGGAATCAAACCCAGTTCTCCCAGATTAGAGTCCGCGCACTTAACCAGGATGTATTTACATTGATTATATATAACGCTTGTATTTCACACGCTCAAAGCCTGATCCCTGGGAAAAAAACCCTCTGCACCTATCCGGCTTTGCTGTCTGAAGTGCGGTAACGGGGAGGGGTCGCAGACAAGCTCGCTATCCCTGGAGCACAATCGCTGGCAATCGCAACGCTGTGTGGGATCGCCTGTGTGTTAGCTTGTGGCACGAAGCAGGGAGGCGCAGTGACTTGTCCGAGCCAAGGAGCAGCGTCACCACGCCGAGACCTGCAGGGTTCTCCCAGTCTCGTGGGGGCCAACCAGGAGGAACGTTTGGCTGCTGCCAAGTCCCTTCCTGCGCAGAAAGGATCAGAGAGCAGGTGTTGTGAAGGACCTTGAACTGAGTCTCTGGAGAACCACTGAGCAGACAGGACTGACCTTGACGGGCCCGATTCAGGATAAGGCTTCTCATTTCCCCTTCGTGGTGATGGGGATGCAGCAGCCCAGTTTCCTTGTTCCCCCAGACCTGCCCGAGATCCCAGTCCCTGTCCTTTGCCTTTGTCAAAGACCTCCGGATGCTCTGGGCCTTCCTCTCTCCTGACAGGAAGAACAGGCCTGCAGCCTATCAGCCGCCCCCTTGATCTCCACTTGAAGAGGAGGAGGAGCAGGTTTTTATGCTCCACGTGTCTCTCTCTTAAGGAGTTTCCAAGCGGCTTACACTCGGCTTCCTTTCCACTCCGCACAACAGGCGGCTTGGGACGTAGGTGGGGCTGAGAGAACCGGGACTGGCCCAAGGTCACCCAACAGGCTTCATGGGGAGGAAGAGGAAGAAGAAAAATGAGGAGGAGATTGGATTTATACCCCGCCCTTCACTCAGAGTCTCAGAGTGGCTTACAAACTCCTTTCCCTCCCCATCCCCACAACAGACACTCTTGTGAGGTAGGTGGGGCTGAGAGAGCTCTTGACAGAAACTGCCCTTTTCAAGAACAGCTCTTGTCAGAACTACGGCTTGCCCAAGGTCATCCAGCCAGGTGCAAGTGGAGGAGTGGGGAATCAAACCCGGTTCTCCCAGATAAGAGTCTGTACACTGAACCACTACACCAAACTGGCTCTCAGCAGAGACAGCAGCTAAGTCCCGGGACAGGAGGTATGGGGGGAGGGGGGGAGGAGGGGGGACTTTGTTTGAGCTTCAAGGAGTGCCACTGGGGATGAGATGGAGCTTGCCTGCTTTGCTTTCCTTTTCAATTTCATGATAGCAGCCAACAAATTCGTCCACATGTGCTTCGGGGAATACGTCTGGTTCAATAAAAGTAAGCAGGGCGTATAACTCTTGAAGGCTGTTCTGAATTGGCGTTCCTGTCAGCAGAAGCCTGAAGTCTACTGAAAACTGAGAGAAGAAGAGATTGGGTTTATACCCCGCCCTTCACTCAGAGCAGCTTACAATCTCCTTTCCCTTCCCCTCCCCACAACAGAAACCCTGTGAGGTCGTTGGGGCTAAGAGAGCTTTGACAAAAACTGCTCTTTTCAAGAACAGCTCTGACAGAACTATGGCTTGCCCAAGGTCATCCAGCAGCTGCAAGTGGAGGAGTGGGGAATCAAACTGGGTTCTCCCAGATTATAGTCCGCGCACTTAAGACCAACCAAGTTTAATTCTGGGTATAAGCTTTCCTGCACACGCACACTTCTTCCCTGTCAGAAGGAGTGTGCGTGCACATTAAAACCTTATACCCAGAATTAAACCTTGTTGGTCTTAAAGGTGCCACTGGACTCTGTTCTGTTGCTTCAGACCAACATACCTACACACCTGACTCTCTTGGTGAACACGGGTTACCATATTTTGAAAAGCAAAAAGAGGACATATTTCCCGACTGACCACTTCAAACAAGCAATCACTATGACAAATCTCATTTTAAAAACCTCTCCTGTTTAAGCTGTGATACTTGCTAATAACTAGGAATATTCCTAACCTTCTGACCCAAAAAGAGGGCATTTTCACATGTTTTTTAAAAAGAGCCCCAAAGGAGGTATCCTCTAAAAAGAGGAAGTCTGGAAACCAGTGTTCCCTCTAAGCTGAGTGAGCATGAGCTCGCTCACAGTTTTTTAGCCTCCGGCTCACACATTTTTGTCTCAGCTCAGGAAGGATGGCTCCAGAGCAAACTAATTTATGCAGCAGCCAAATCGCTCGCTCCAAACTTTAATGCCAGGAGCTCACAAAGTAGAATTTTTGCTCACAGGACTCCACAGCTCAGAGGGAGCGTTGCAGTGGTAACCCCAGGTGAACTGACAGCACAGGCAAGATTCGAACCTGGCGCCTGCTCACTTCTAGCTCCCTCCCCTGCCACACCAGATCTTACAGACTTTTTACCTTAGTAAGCGTTTTATGAAGCAGCGATTCCTGATTCTTCAGCCGGTGGGCTTCGTCCACCACGAGGCACACCCAGTTAAAACTGAACACAAGCATATTTTTAGAAATCACAACAGAGAAAATTTTCAAAAGCCCTCCAGTATCTGGGATGTCCTCTCACGGGATGCTCCCTCCCCCACTGCAGTTCTCGCCTGGTCTCCACAGCTCTGGTTCCCATTCGGCACAAACTACAACCCACCAATGTTCCCTCTAAGCTGTGGAGTCTTGTGAGCAAAAATTCTACTTTGTGAACTACTGGTATTAAAGTTGTGAGCCAGCGATTTGGCTCCTGCATGAATCAGTTTGCTTTGGAGCCCTCCTTCCTGAGCTAAGACAAAAATATGTGAGCTGGAGGCTAAAAAGTGGTGAGCTTGCTCACACTAACTCAACTTAGAGGGAACATTGCAACCCACCACGTTGTCCTCTCACTTGTTGTCCCAAGGTGCTCGGAGCCACGAGCACCGCCTCTCCCCCATTTTGTCCTCCAAGCAACCACACGAAGTAGTCCAGGCTGAGAGAAGACGAGCGGCTTAAGGCCACCCGTGAGCTTCAGGGCTGAGCGAAAATTTAAACCCAGGCCTCCTCCCATCCCGGTATTCAGCCCGATACTCTGACCACCATGCCGGTTCCCTTTGAGTGGCGTCTCCTCTTTTCCAATCCCTAAGACACATCCAATCGGAGCAGAACGTGGTCTCCCTACCGAAGTGTGGAACTGTGTGCGTGATCTGAATGCTTCACTGCGCAATCAGCCTTCCGTTCTCCATTAAGGAGGCAAGAACGGCTGCCCATAGACAAAAAAAGATGTGTTGTGTTTTTTTTTGCCAGCGTTAGACAAAATCACGGTTACTGGCAAACAATGCTCCCTCTAAGCTGTGGAGTCTTGTGAGCAAAAATTCTACTTTGTGAGCTACTGGCATTAAAGTTGTGAGCGAGCGATTTGGCTACTGCATAAATTAGTTTGCTCTGGAGCCATCCTTCCTGAGCTAAGACAAAAATCTGTAAGCTAGAGGCTAAAAACTGTGAGCTAGCTCACACCAACTCAGCTTAGGGGGGAACACTGGTTCCAATTCAGAACTCACAATCAATGTTCCCTCTAAGCTGTGGAGTCTTGTGAGCAAAAATTCCACTTTGTGAGCTACTGGCATGAAAGTTGTGAGCCAGCGATTTGGCCGCTGCATAAATTAGTTTGCTTTGGAGTCGTCCTTCCTGAGCGAAGACAAAAATGTGTGAGCCGGAGGCTTAAAAAACTGTGAGCTAGCTCACACTAACTCAGCTTAGAGGGAACTTTGCTGGCAACACAAATGAATCATCCTTAACAAAAAGATGCCCTGCCTGCTTCTGAGGCAGTGGGCTCCAACATCAACAAACATGTTCAGACGTGCCGTCATCAAGATATTTAGTTATTTTTATTTATTTGTTAGATTTATAACCTGCCCTCCCCTGCATTTGGGGCTCAGAGTGGGTAACAACGATATTTACAAAATAATACCTACTGAATTAAACTGTTAAAATAATTCTTACAATCAATGCTTCCTCTAAGCTGTGAAGTCTTGTGAGCAAAAATTCTACTTTGTGAGCTACTGGCATTAAAGTTGTGAGTGAGCAATTTGGCTACTGCATAAATTAGTTTGCTCTGGAGCCCTCCTTCCTGAGCTAAGACAAAAATGTGTGAGCCAGAGGCTAAAAAACTGTGAGCTAGCTCACACTAACTCAGCTTAGAGGGAACACAGTTTACAATACTACTGACAGCTAATAAGATGGAACGTGAAAGGCGAACATGACCTAGTGCCCCTTATCCAGAGGAGGAGGAGAAATATCCCACAATTAGGTAGAAGAAGAGAAGAGATTGGATTTATACCCCGCCCTTCACTTGGAAGTCCCAGAGGGGCTCACAATCTCCTTTCCCTTCCCCTCCCCACAACAGACACCCTGTGAGGTCGGTGGGGCTGAGAGAGCTCTTTCGAGAACTGCCCTTGAGCGAACAGCTCCGAGAGAACTTTATGATTGACCCAAGGTCACTCCAGCACCTGCTTGTGGAGGAGGTTGCCTCAAACCCGGTTCTCCCAGATTACAGTCTGCACTCCTAACCACTACACCGAACAGGCAAAAAGAGTTATAACAAACACAAAAGGGGGAGAGACCTTGGGGGGTGGGGAGGGAAAGGAGGCACGCCAGTCTAGAATGGAAACCATTGCTGCTCTCAACCATAAGCCTGGAGGAACATCTCTGTCTTGCAGGGGCCGTCCCCCCCCCAATATGAAGTCAATTCACGACTTCCACTTTAGCAGACACCCCAGTGGCATTACATCCCAAGCAGAAATCACACCTGGGACTCCTCTCCTTAAAATCAGAGGTAGGTTTGCAGCCGTGACCAGGAAGGAGACGATCACCTGCAGTTGTAGTTTAGATGCAACACAAAACCAGTTTGCAGCAAGGGGAAATGATCAACACAAAACAAATAAGGGGCGCACCAACACAGGGCTTGCTCCTAGCGCACCAAAGCACAAGCGTGGTGATACACCAGGGACATTCCGCCCCCAAGACATCCACGGATAGTTAGCGCAACCCATTCGACATTAAAAGCCCACTGAATGGAGGCTCCAGCAGTTGGAAACTAGCCCATAAGTGGGGGGAAGGTGATAAGCTGCCTGTAATGATTTCATGTTTCGGTGTGTGTGCTTCTTCAACTGTTTAGTTTGACTGCAGTACTGTAAGAAGAGTGATAGAGGGAGACAAGTGTGATGTGATTGGCGGATCACTGAGTGTGGGAGGAGGGGTGTCTATGAGAGTGATTCTGTGTGTGAAGTTTGAAGAGAGAGCACAGTTTTTGAGTCTATTCTGTGTGAATAAGACAAACAGTTTAGTCTGTGTGAATATGAGTTTTGAGTCTATTCTGCGTGAATAAGACAAAGTGGCTACCAAGTTAATCTACCAGTTACAGATAGTGGTTTAAGGTAAAACTGTCTCCCCAATAAGCAGGACGTCAGACTGCCCTTTCAGGCATCCAAATATACTCACCTTTTCAGAAACGTGGCATCCCTGAGGCACAGCTACTGACCGAGAAAAAGAAAGAATGGTGTTAATGCTACAGGGGTGCAACAGGATCACTGGCATAAGTTGGTTCTCGCTGGGCAAGCAGCAAAAGAATAAAAAAGCGGAGGACAAAACTGGAATTGACTGATCACCCCATACGATACTACCCTCGACTCTCACGGGATTCAGTATAATCATGGACAGATCAGCTACATAAAAAGTAGTAAAATGATCCCAACAGAAGTTCTAGAGGGGCTTCACAGGGACAGAACTCCCTCTGCCCCCCCCCCAGTTTCTGTCCTCAACAGCCTTTGATGTCACTCCAAAGTAATGACAATTTAGCATTTCTATTTCATGTACTTTAATTTTTGTTATATGTGCATGTGTGTAGATGCGCCTGGAAGTCATGGTGACCTCTGGTGACTGACCCCTACTGGGGGCTTGGAGGACATTCAGAGAGGTGGCTGAGTGAAGCCTGCCCCCGCCTCCCGACTGCTGGTATTCCACGGAGGTCTCCCATCCAAGTCCTTGCCAGAGTCGACCCTGCTGAGCTTCTGAGATCTGACGAGATGGGGCTTGCCTGGGCTATCCAGGTCAGGGTGACAATTTAGCATTTCTCCGGCGCTCCTGAGTGTTCAGACATTTCCCACATATTATCCTGTCACCAGCAATTTTCACAGAATTGGAGTGGGGAAAGGAACTTTTACAGCCTACGCTTGTTAACGGTCTATGCTTGAACAAAGCAGGCCAGCGGATTATTTATTTTTAACATTTCAGCAAAATGTTGTGCTGCCACACATTTGGAGAGTTAACTATCTGGAAATGTGTCCAGAAATAAATCTTGCAAAGTTGGAAACCGAGCAGATGTCTGGTTTGCAACACTGCTATAGGAAAGTTGATCCTAAACTTGGAAATGCTTACCTCACAGAATCAAAGGAGACAAATTAATTGGTTTTGATAGAGTCATGAGTTTGGGCCTGTATAAAATAGCCGTAGTCCAAAACACTAATGAATCTCTCAGATGTGGGTCACACGGGAGACTATCTAGTCTTGCTGAAAGGGTTTTGGTGAGTATCTCAGAAATTATATTTTACCGTTTAATCTACAGATAGATAGGATAACAGACGTTATTACGTCTTTCTGTTTCTGATTCCACTGACATATGCAAGTTCTGTTTGCATTGCTGTGGTTCTTTTGTATTTATTCTTTATGGTTACTGATACCAAAGTTGATTGTTTTAGCATTATATTGGTAGTATAATTGTTATTACTGTTAAGTTTTTGTGTTGAATGTTAATGTTAAGGCTAAATATTGCTATTCATTGAAGTTCTTTTATTACAACTATGATGTTTATTTTTCTTCCTGTTATTGGAACTAAAAAATTAATATTTTTTTAAAGAGTGATTAGATTGATTTTAAATAAAAATGTTAAAGGGCAGGGATACAAGGCTTTCACTTGTTATCCTATGTGTGTTAAACACTGTCAAGACATTTCTGACTTATGGCGACCCTAAGAATTAATGTCCCAAAGTGCCCTGCTGTTAACAGCCTTGCTCACAGGGGGCCCTTCTGACCTCTCTGCCTGAGCCAATCCATCTCGCGTTGGGTCTTCTTCCACTTTTCCTAGCATGATTGTCCTTGGCCGTTAGTCTTGTCCTCTCATAACGGGAACAAACTACAATCGCCTCACATAGTCATTTTAGCATCTAGAAAGAGTTTAGGCTGGATTTGATCTAACCTAGAGATTGATTTCTTAACCTATAGAGAATGATTATTGAAGATAATAGGTAAAGGTTTTCCCTGCTTGAAAGCCAGTCGAATCCGGCTCTAAGGGGCAGTGCTCATCTCCGTTTCCAAGCTGAAGAGCCAGCACTGTCTGAAGACGTTTCCGTGGTCATGTGGTCGGCACGACTAAATGCTGAGGCGCATGGAACGCTGTTACCTTCCCACCAAATTGGTACCTATTTATCTACTTGCAAATTCTTGCTTTTGAACTGCTAGGTTGGCAGGAGCTGGGGCCAGAGATGGGAGCTCACTCCGTCGGGTCTCGAACTGCCGAACTACAGACCTGCCAGTCTGCAGCTCAACGTCCTAACCTCTGAGCCACTGTGGCCCTACTGAAAAGAATAGCCTTCTCAATATAGCCCTGCATTACTTTGCAACAGGTAAAGGAACCCTTCATTTCCACGTGTCTGTTGTACACAGAACACTTCCCTTACACGGCAGTAACACACCATTACAGAAAAAAAGTTTGTACATATGAAAGCTTATACCTTGAATAAAATCAGGGCTTTCTTTCTGGGGGAATGTGCTGGAACAGAGTTCTGGAACCTCTTCAGCTATGGCTACCCACCCCAAATCTAACATCATACAACATACCTAAGGGACCGCCTCTTCCCATATACGCCTCGGAGAGCGTTACGCTCTGAGAGAACATCTCCTGACGATCCCCGGCCCAAAGGACGTCCGCCTAGCCTCAACCAGGGCCAGGGCTTTTCCTGCTCCCTATTGAGATCAGGGCCCTGAGGGATCTTACTCAATTCCGCAGGGCCCACAAGACGGAGCTGTTCCGCCAGGCCCTTTGGCTGAGGTAGCGGGCATCCACATATGGCTCCCCTGAGGTTGCGGTCTCCCACCCAGGTTGTGGTCTCCCACATCAGTGGGCCGGATTCTCCCTACAGCAAGCATGATTACTGTTTTTATATGTTTTAATGTGTTTTAAATTTTATTGTATTTACTGAAATGCTGTAACCTCCCCTGAGCCCGTTTACGGGATGGGCGGGATATCAATGTGAAAAATAAACAAACAAACCACGACAGAACAGTTTGCCTGGGTTCCGCAGAGGCATCAACATAAGACTCTAATGAATGGGCAGCTCCATCCGGTGAGTTCTGGAACAGCCGATTTAGGCAAAAGTGACCCAGCGACAAGCCCCCTCTAGAGACAGACAGCTCTGCTCTCGAAGAAAAACAGGCACACGCCTTGTGGTGTTTTCACCAGGTACATATTTTGTGCCTCAGCAGAAGAGCAGCACTGCAGACACATTTGCCAAGTACCTCGTAAGTTGTCAGGAGAACGTGGAAACTGTCACTGGGCCTCAGGTCCTCTTGGAGCTTTGCCCGTTCTTCCTTATCCCCCGCATACGCCACAAAGGAAAGGCCGGGAGAAAATCTATTTCAGGGTTAGAAAGAAGCCACACTGAGCAAGATATAAAATGTGCAGCTTTGATCAGAATCGAGAACTCACGTGTGACCCCTGCTCCCCTCCCCAGGCCCCTCACCCCAGATCTCTAGGTATTTTCCCACCCAGAGCAGGCAACCCTAATTCTGTGTATTTAAGGTATGTGTTCTGATGAAAAAGTATGAACAGTCCATTTTCTGACTTGGCTATGAGAGCTCCAAATAGGATGTTATGCACCACGCAGGTGTATGCAAGATGGAAGCTGTGTCACCGGAGAACTGGCTCCTTTTTGCTACCAAAGAGTGTTGTGGATTGTTTGAGTTTGCCTGCTGCTTTATTTTATTTATTTATCAGCAGGTCCATCAAATAAGATAAACCGTATTTTTGACAAGTGTGGCTGTTGTAGTCTTTACAGAAAATATTTCCTAATATCTAGTTGCACCTTTTAAGACCAATTTTTAATTGCATGTAAGAGAGAGCATATGGTGGAATGGTTTACTCAGGGAACTCTTAAAGGAACATTCAGTAATAAAGGTTATGCATCTGTGTGAAGCTGTAACCTCTGTTTGAGCCTTATTAGATCTCTGTATGAAATAAATTACTGTTCTACTCAGGGGTCATTTCGTAGAAAAAGAGGTGCAGGAGCTCATTGGCATAACTCATTAGCATAACTTATTTGCATATGCCACACCCCCTGACATCACCGGAAATGTGTCAGAAGGCAACACCCATCGCTCAGGCTCCACTGGACTGTTTTGGATTCCTAGCTATTGGGGGGGGGGGACATGCAGATCTGTCCTTGCAGAGGAGGGAGAGCTTGTACCTGAATAAAACTTGGTCTTAAAGGTGCCACTGGACTGTTTTGGACCGGGGGCCGGGGGGAGCTCTGCAACTTACCTGGCTGCTTCTTGCTCTGACTGAGGGCTGCTGGGAGCAGGGGGTGGGGCTTGTGGCATGTGCCCGACCCCTGGGCTCTTTACTGCCGGAGCTCCGCTCCTGTGCGCTCTTGCAGGAAATGACCCCTGGTTCTACTAACTGACATTCTGTACTATCCATCTGAATATGGCATTTGGAAGATAGCTACTCTGAGGTCTCCCAGAGTAGGATCCCCTAAATTTCTGGGGAGCCCCTTCCTCAATCCCACATGGCTCCACCTCCATAGATAGCGACAATGGCCTGTGATGTCACTGGCCCATGATGTCACTGAGCATTATTTTAAGGACCTAGCAAAGCAATGCCTCTGGCCCAGCTCCAGCCCCTCCACCCCCCGGGTGAAATTGGAAAGTCTACGCCCTTGATCAGCAGAAGACCTGGGAAGGACTTACTGCAGAGTCCGCATTATGGAGTCCACAGCATATTTCCCAAAGGCTCATGGGAATGCTTCTGAAAGACTCACCATGACCTAGGTGGTCTACAGCATGATTGGGCTAGCAGAAAGGGGGATTTGTTAGAGATGTGCTGAAGGTGCCGCTCTCCAGTGCCCTTCTAAGCTTTCTTGCCTTGTGGAAGGTGTGGCATCCTTGCTTATAGGGGAAACGGTTTTACCTTTAAACACTCTCTGTGTATATAAACTTGGTAGTTTTCTGCTGCCACCAGGAATTAAAAATTCTAAATCTCTCTCTTTTGATGGTATGACCCAGGGTCTGGGCACTGCAGAGGACTATGTGGCACTGAGGAAGAACTGTACTGATTTCTGGGATAAGCTTAAATAAAAATTGATTTATTTAATAAAGAACAAAATAGGTGTCTGGTTATTTTTGAACTGTTACTGAAAAAAAAAAGAACTTGTAAATATAACTGGCAAAACTTGGTGTTACAAACAGTCACTCAGACCACTCTGACAGGCAACTGTTACTGAAAAAAAAAGAACTTGTAAATATAACTGGCAAAACTTGGTGTTACAAACAGTCACTCAGACCACTCTGACAGGCATAGGCTCTCAGTATAATCTTTCTCTCTCTCATATATATATAGCCAAACAGGTTAATCTCCTTGTCTTATTCACCCAGAACAGAATCAGCTCTTATAGTCACTCAGACTAAACTGTTTGCCTTATTCACACAGAATAGAAGCATAATTCCATATTCACACAGACCATGCTGTCTCTTCAAACTTCACACACAGAACTCTGTCATAAAACATCTCTCCTCGCACCCTCTCAGTCATCAGTCAATCACAGCACACTCACCTCCCCTTATTGCTCTCCTTACATTACTGCAGTGAAACTCAACATTTAAAGACACACACACACCAAAACATGGAATCATTACAGGCAGGATGTAAGACACCTGATATTCTGGGGTTTAAGGCCTCTTCACACCTGACTGAGTTAAGAAACAACGCACGTTTGCCAAACCTTACTTTTCCAGTTCTTCCTTCCAGTTGTTCAGCACAGACAGAGGGCAAAGTATCAAAAAAGGCCTCTTTTTAAGCTTCCCTTGTAAGACGACAAGCAGAGAAATAGCCTGGAATGCAAAGAGAAACGTACAAACGGTGGTGGTTATTGAGAGCATCTGCTTGCCTCCTCAGAGTAAATTTTTAAAATATTTCTCCCCCACCTTTCCTGCAGAGGCCCAAAGCAGCTCACAGGAGAACAGAACATAAAAATCCCTGTCTGCTTAGCCTCAAACAGGGCCAGTGCCTTCTTTGTCCTGGCCCCCAATTGGTGGAACATGCTTCCGCCTGAGATTAATGCCCTGCGAGACTTACTGCCGTTCCACGGGGCCTGTAAAACGGAGCTGTTCCGCTAGGCCTTCGGTTGAGGCAATGGACATCCAGTTATGGCCTCCCTGCAGAAAGCCGCGCTGCTACATCTGCCGGTGTGGAGCGTCGGTATCATTAGTTTGTGGCGACTCCTGTCTACCATCTATCCAGCTGCTAGGGCTATCTTGTAAATGTACGTTGCCATCTTTTAATTCTAATCTTAATTGTTCTTAAGCGTTTGTTGCTAATAATTGGTTTTTAATGCTTTATAACATTGCTGTTACCCGCCCTGAGCCCGCTTGTGGGAAGGGTGGATATAAAAGCAACAAACAAACAAACACACAGCTGGCGTGGCATAGGGCTTAAAGAAGAAAAGGAGAGAAGAAATTGGATTTATGCCTTGCCCTTCACTACCCAAAGGAGTGTCAGAGTAGCTTAGAATCTCCCGTCCCTTCCTCTCCCCACAACAGACACCCTGAGAGGTAGGTGGGACTGAGAGAGCTCTTTTGAGGACTGTGCTTGAGAGAACAGCTCTGAGAGAACTTGTGACTGACCCAAGGTCACACCAGCAGCTGCATGTGGAGGAGTGGGGAATCAAACCCGGTTGTCCCAGATTAGAGTCCGCGCTCCTAACCACGACACCAAACTGTTGGACTAGAACCTGGGACTGTTGGGTTTGAATCCCTGCTCTAGCCAGCTGAGCTGACACTGGGCCTGTTGCAATGTAACACTTAGAGGGGCTGGGACTTAGTGGTAGAGCCCCTGCGTGGCACGCAGAAGGTCCCAGGTTCAATTCCCGACATCTCCAGTTAAAAGGACAAGGCAGGAGGTGATGTGAAAGGCCTCAACCTGAGACCCTAGAGAGCTGCTGACAGTCTGAGCAGACAATACTGACCATGATGGACCAAGGCTCTGATTCATAGAATCACAAAGTTGGAAGGGACCTCTAGGGTCATCTAGTCCAGCCCCCTGGCACAAGGCAGGAAATTCACAAATATCTGCCCCTCCACACCCCCAGTGACGGCTGTTCCATGCCCAAAGGATGGCAAAAAACCTCCAGAATCTCCAGCCAAACTGGCCTGGAGAAAAGTTACTTCCTGACCCCAAAGTGGCGATCAGCATTTCTCTGGTCGTGTAAGAAAGGGCCACGAGAACTAAGCACTGATGCAACCCTCCCTTTCTGTGACCTGCCTAAGTTCACAGAATCAGTATAAGGCAGTTTCGTGTGTTCACTTAATCCACCCCCAAAACCTCACACCACAAAGTTCTTCAAGGCCCCACCGGAAAACCATCCTGCAAAAGCCCAGGCTAGTAATGCTGCCTGGAATACCTCCCCGGGCATGGATCTCTGCCCCTGCTGCAACTGAGGCAGAGGAGGACCGTGCCCTCCTGGAAGAGACAAGGGAAGGAACTGCAAGAGGCTGCTAGCTCAATACGCAGATTCATGCCTGGCGAGGCCACCCTTCAGCCATGAGTCCCAGGCTGCAACTGAGGGTGTGCTCAGCACACCCAGGTCTTTGAGCGCACGCCGCAGCAGTCAAGCAGATGCGGGTGCCGTCATAGCCAGGCCGAGAAATGCGGCTTCGAATGCTCAGAAAGAAAGGTGGAAGAAACCAGCAGAAACAGAGAGAACGGAGAGGCACCTGGCAGGTCTTTCCGAGACCCATCTCGTCCCCGAGGATGCAGCCGTGCTGAGAGCCGAAGCAGCGAACCAGCCAATTGACCCCTTCCAGCTGATATGGACGTAAGCGGATGCCTAAAAGGGTGGGAAAGGAGAGACGGAGAGAGTGAAAAGGGGTGAGTGGGCCAACCTGTCCAGATCACAGGGAAATCACAAGAATAATCCCACAGGAGTAGTGTGAGGTGCTTGCTATTTGGGGAAACGGTTTTACCTTTAACCACTCTCTGTGTATATAAACTTCGTAGTTTTCTGCTGCCAGCAGGAATTAAAAAAATTCCAATTCTCTTTCTTTTGGTAGTATGACCTAGGGTCTGTGCACTTCAGAGGGCTACGTGGCCCTGAGGAAGGACTGTACTGATTTCTGGGATAAGTTTAAACAAAAATTGATTTATTTAATAAAAAACAAAATAAGGTTCTGGTTATTTTGAACAGTTGCTGAAAGAGCTCTTTCAGTCCCACCTAGGGTGCCTGTGGTGGGGAGGGGAAGGGAAAGGAGATTGTAAACCGCTCTGAGACTCCTTCAGGTAGTAAAGGGCCAGGTATAAATCCAATCTCTTCTTCTCTTTGTCATATTAATTCAGAAACCAGAGCAAGAACTACTCTTAAGAGAACACAGTTTGAGTCTAGCTCCACCTTTCAAGTTTTATGCACACAAAAGCTTATACCCAGGATTAACTTCAGTTTATCTTAAAAGTGCCACTGGACCCAAACTTAGTTCTTCAGAAAAAAGTGCATGCACACAAAAGCTAATACCCCAAATTAACCTTTGCTGGTCTTAAAGGTACCACTGAACTCAGCCTTTGTTCTGCTGCCACAAACCAACAGGGCGACCCCCCCCCCCGAATTGCCTTTCAGAGAGTGTGACTTGCTCAAAGGCCCCCCAACCAGCCTCCAGGGCTCCTGGACCTCCCAGATCCCACTCCCATGCTGGCGCTGCAAAATACTGATGCGTCTCGTGGGAAAAAGAAAAATCCAACCCCACAGCAGTGTTCCCTCTAAGCTGAGTCAGTGTGAGCCAGCTCAGTTTTTTAGCCTCCGGCTCACAGATTTTTTGTCTCTACTCAGGAAGGAGGGCTCCAGAGCAAACTAATTTACACAGTTTGGTGTAGTGGTTAAGTGCCCGGACTCTGATCTGGGAGAACTGAACCCAGGAGTCATTTCCTGCAGGAGCGCACAGGAGGGGAGCTCCGGCAGTAAAGAGCCCTGGGGGCAGGCACATGCAACAAGCCCCACCCCCTCCTCCCAGCAGCCCTCAGTCAGAGCAAGAAGCAGCCAGGTAAGTTGCAGAGCCCCCCCACCGCCCCCTTGGGTCCAAAACAGTCCAGTGGCACCTTTAAGACCAAGTTTTATTCAGGTACAAGCTCTCCCTCCTCTGCGAGGACAGATCTGCATGTCCCCCCCCCCCAATAGCTAGCAATCCAAAACAGTCCAGTGGAGCCTGAGCGGTGGGTGTTGCCTTCTGACACACTTCCAGTGATGTCAAATGAGTTATGCTAATGAGCCCCTGCACCTCTTTTTCTACGAAATGACCCCTGGAGAACCGGGTTTGATCCCCCACTCCTCCACTTGCAGCAGCTGGATGACCTTGGGCAAGCCTAAGTTCAGATAAGAGCTGTCCTTGAAAAAAGAGCAGTTTTTGTCAGAGCTCTCTCAGCCCCGCCTACCTCACCGGGTGTTTGTTGTGGAGAGGGGAAGGGAAAGGAGATTGTAAGCCGCTTTCGGTAGTGAAGGGCGGGGTATAAATCCAATCTCTTCTCTTCTTCAGTAGCCAAATCGCTCGCTGGCCACTTTAATGCCAGTAGCTCGCCAAGGGGGATTTTTGCCCACAGGACTCCACCGCTGGAGCACTGCCCCACAGCCAAGGCAGAGGGGGCCCCCGAGGTGCGGGACGAAGTCTACCGACGTCAAAGCCCAAACCGCCACCCAGCCTTCCCAAGC